CGGGGAGGACAGGCCTGGACCTCGAGGAGTCGTGCTGGACAGGGACTAGACCGAAGGTGACCGAAGCCAGGATCCGTCTCGAGCAGAGTGTGCCAGTAGCTGGGTTGCCTCTCCATCGTCCAAGTGGAGATGGGAGGAGACATCGTGTGTATTCACAACGAGAGCGCCAAGTGAGGACGTGCATGTGAGGGCGAGTGCTACCACGTCCGTCGAAATAGCCCATCCCAAAAGGGGATTTGTCAGTCGGGTGTAGTAGTAATTGGGTTCGTAGTGTTTTCTGAGCACTGCTCCCGTACTGCTCGTACTCATGCCCGCTGCAGGGCATGGGTCTGGATTATCCCTGCTGGACCCATCGAGGATCCCATCTCGCGGATCGAGACAAATTGCTAGACCTGTTTGCGTTTGGTCCAAGGCGCTTTGGGATGACTCTCCCTCTCCGTCAACCGTCTTGCTGGGTATGTGCCGCCGCCATGTCAAAATGCTTGGGACAAGGCCGGGCGCGCTGGAATGTTCACCCTCCGTCTGCAACATCAAAATGCGAAAGCGTATCCGTAACTACAGTAGTGGTGGTGGTGGTAGTAGTAGTGATAATACCGGTAGTAGTAGGTTAAGGTAGGACGCCACATGAGGAAAGAGTTGTGGGGAATTCGGGGGCGGGGCCAACACGTTACTACGACGGAAGTGGTCTCAGATGGCCGTTTGCGGAATGCAAGGTACGGCGCGGGCTGATCTAGTTTGACTTGGCGCCGAAGGATGGGCGGAAGGGCAAGCCACACCTGATTTCCAGACCGGGACGGGCACCTTGGCCAGCTGTTGCCTCTCGTTCAATCTCATACCTCCCCGCCACCTCTACAGTATTAGGTACAGAGCACCATGTTTCTCATGTTTTCGGTTGCAGACAAGCCACTTTCGCCCACGTTTTCGTCACATGACCCGACCTGTTGTGTCACTCACGATAGACGTGAACAGACGGCCAAGAGGTGAGGTGTACTTTTTTTTTCCCGCAGATTTCCGCACTTGCCGCATGTCTGCCGCTTCCACGGAATTCTAAGAACCCGGTGGACGTCTGCCATGGTGCCGCGTCCTAGGTGTACAGCAATATCGCGATCCAAGTGGTCGATTTCGACATAGATCCGAAGTGGAGAAAGTGGGAGACGGACGCAGGAACCAGACGCATCAACGCGATCGATGCATAGTCTCAAGCTTCCAATGGCCGCTTCGGTCGCGCTACCCCTGGAGATACCGCATTCTTGCTGATCTCTCGTCCTGCAGTCCTGCAGCATACGGGCGAGTGTGTGCTTCACACAGCATTGCACCGCGGGTGGGGCCCCGTGGCACTCGAGGCTCGACCTGAAAACGACCATTGGCCTTGGCGAACCACGGGAACCGTGTCATCGAGTGCTACTCCAGCGGCGAGCAGTTTGCTAACTTGTTTGAGCTTCACTCTCCTTGTGATAGCAGCCGTTGACCGTCTGGCAGTGAGTCGTCCGATGTTGCTCGGACGCACGCTCAAGAATCGATCATTTCATGTCCTTCTTTTCTTAGGTACACGGGCACGCATGGGGTTCGGCCTAGCGCCCCGCCGTGATATCCAAAAGCGCAGGCTGGGGAGAACAGACATCGTCCGGTCAGGTACCGCGATGAAGTTATCGAGCCTGGGAAACCTAAAGGGTGCGTGGTGCAGGCGTTTGATGTCAATGCGACTTTCAGGCGCCGGTCTCTTTCGTCCTTCTCGCGGACAATCGAGATTACGTGCGTCTCAGCATCGACCACATCCTTTGGCAGATCGCGCCTGAAGTCCTTGGTGGTAGGAAGTCTCTATGCGCAGTACCCGTACCTCCCGCCAGAGATCGATAGATTGAAAAATGGACTCAAGCTGCGTCCACCAAATGGCAGCGTGTTTACCTCCTCATCACCTCAGAGTGGTCAAGCAGCCAAACTGATAAGTCTGGCATATATTGCAGCACTCGTAGATCTTGTCCTACCAACTTGAATGGATTCCCGACCAAAGCCGCCTGTTGGATACCAATACTGTGGTCCGCACCAGAAGCCCGAATATCAAAATCTGATTAGTAGTTAAGCCATACACACTTCATTCAGGTTTTCGACAGGGTCATTGTGCGATGGCATCGGCACATCAGCACTGAACCTCCACTATGGCGGAGTACACAGCACCCAGATCAACCTACCAGCTAAAGCTATTTCGTTGATGGCGGGTTGATCACTTCGCTGTCAGATGGCGCACCATCTTGGCCTGGGTTGACGTATAAAACCCGAGTCAATACAGATGACGAGGGTCCGCTTCAGATCCTGTGTCGATGACGAAGACGCTGGCGACGATGGCGAGGATTGTGGATCGACCGACAAGACGGACAAAGGATTGAAGAAGCGCGTTGGTTATAGCGAAAGCGATCTCGTGTGAAGCGCGACGTTGCGAACCGAATCCAGGTCGAAATCGGCGGACACTCTAGCGATCGTCTTGAGACAAAGAGATATTTCGAGGTAGGCGCAGTAGATCTGTCCTCTTCCGTTCCGATGGACCACCTATTTAATGCGTGGAAACTGATCAGCCGACGATGGTGACAATTCGAAGCCCAGCAATGTGTTCCCGCTTCACAACGACTAACATGGCATCAATTAGTCAACCGCCAAAGCATATGACAAGCATGATCAGAGTCCGTCGAAGTCAACATGGCACCACGACGGGGCCGGTGTCAGTCATCGACGACGCCTAGACTTCTGATGTCGACCGTCTTTCTGAATGGTGCGTGTCTGTTTGTAGCGTGTCCGCTGCATCAGATCAGGGCGTTTACATTCCCAGTTGCCTGTCGGACCGCAGCCACTTTAGATAACCGAACTCACGATAACCCAATCCGGCGCCATGTTGAACCACGATGTGAACGGCCCCAAGGGCCCCCAAATACGCCCTTCAAGCTCCTCGTGGCCCATTGGACAATAGCAAATTCTCTGGCATTTGTCCCAGCTCAGGCGTGCGGGCACTGGCCAGGCCGATGGCACCTTTCGGAGGACCCAAGCCAGCGAAGCCAGAGCCGGCGAGGGCGTCCGGGAAGGCGAGTCTTATTCGAGACAACCTACGGGCACGCGTCTGAGTGTGAGCAAATTCCGCATGCAGGCGACTACGATGGAGCTGAAGGTCAGGGTAGGTTGCAGGCTACTTCCAGGCCGGTGATTTTTTGGTTTAAAAAGACGCAATTGACCTCGTGTCGTACGTTGACATATCTGGTGCCGGAGAGCTGAGTTCCAGCGAAGATTGACGTTCTCAAGATGTGCGATATTTCCACGACGCAGAGATTGACGACTCTCTCTCTCTCTCTCTCGTACATCGGCATGATTGGTGTATCTGGTTGTACGATGGTGCATTCGTGGTTCGAGAAGGCGAACCGAAGTCGTCCCCCTCTGTGGCAATTCCCCTCATCACGTATATCCCTGAATAGCTTGATCCCACTCTCATCAGCTTCGAGGAAGCGTGTGGTGGGGTACTGCGCTGTGCCGGCCACGGCGGTGACCGACTCTGCTCTCCGTCCGGTAAGTCGATGATCCGTCGAGGGGAAAGACGGGTCGAGTAGAGCGTCATGTAATGAGCCGACAGGCGCAGCCAATTCAGGTTCCGATGCCGTCAATCGGGAACATTTGGAGGGACACAATACAGGTCCGCAGAAAGGCAGTGGAAGAGGGAAGGTCAACACGGAGGTCAAAGGGTTGTTTTTGCGCCCCGATGCCGAGGCATCCGAGGCGCACCGTCCGAACGTATAGGTTCGCCCAGTGTCGTGTACTAGGTACTGCAGATGAAGGCTTGACGGCGGGTGGTAAGGTGGGGTGGGCAGGACGGTGCCAAAAGTCGAGGCGAGACGGAGAGGAGATGTCCGTTTGGGGGCCGAGGGTTGATGCTTGTGACTGATCAGAGGTTTGCCAGTCCCACCCGGTCTGCATCTAGAAACGACTGAGGTCTCGGCTCGGTCAAATGAAGACGCTGAATGGTGGGCCTAAGGTATTTAACCGCTGTAACCAAAAGAGAAAGAATGCCAGGATAACCAGGCTTTGGAAAGGGCAGACCGTCGCGGGGATTCGGGGCTCAAGGTTGGGCCGGACAAGGTGGATGACGGCAGGCGTCATGGCGGGCTTCCAGAAGGGAGGTGGGAGGGCACCATGCTGTTTGGGGGATTATATAAGAAGGCAAAATTCTAGGTACATGTGGTGATAGTGTGTCCCGGGTGCTGTCACATGTATCGACCCGCATCCTACCTCAGGGCGGCGCCCTTGGGCCTTGGGGGCGGCTGAACAGTGTACATACATTGTACTGACATGGGCAGGCAGGAAACACTTGGGACAAACACATGTCATCGACCAAGGTCCCTTGCCCTGTGAGGGCTTCTCGGGCTTGCAGCAGCAGGTTCGGTGTAGCCGGTCCAAGACTCCATCCACTGACGGTGACAGTGGCAGTAATCATGACTGAGCTAACGTTCGATCATGTCTCTCTCCAGTGCGCTGGGTCGTTGGTGGTTCGTTCCAAGTTTCCCGGTTTCCCGAATCCCCGTCTCGCCCAAAGCAGCCACCATGGCAAACCCAATTCTCGTGGGATGGCACCGAATGCTTCGCCAGTGCCAGGCTTTCCATGCTGCCCATGATGCCCACGCTGCCATCTCTCCACTGATGGACATCGGCCTACGCAGTGTTTGCAAAGATGTTGGCTACGTCGTTGGGTAGCTGGGTCGTGCCGATGATCTGCCCACGTCGATGATGGGGAACCGCTGCAGCATCTCACACACCTTTACCGTTTAGGGCTCTCGGACTTGATACTTTCGACCAACATCCCTACGGATATTCCCTGCCATACGGACACAGGAAAAGCTCTTCCCAGTTCCCACTTGACCCTGAACTGTGAAGAGATGATGGCGACAAGTCCGGGCGGGACCGCGAGTTTTCACAGCGGCATCGGCAGCGGCACCGGCTACTTTACCTCCCGTCACCTTAGCAAGTTACCTCATGATCCAATGGATGCAGCTGCAAGAGGGTCATTCGTCACTTCCAAGTCTGATGTGCCCCCCCTTGCGCCTAGTCCCTGAGTGGCAGTAGCGCCTGTTTACGTATCCGCACCAACTTTTGCCGTGCCGTGGATGAACGAGCCTATGAGGGCACGAGGGAGGCAAGGAAGGGAGGAAGGAAATGTAGGCACGAGCGGGAAGAAAAGGCATGACAGAGACAGAGACCAGGGGAAGGCAAGCACAGCCCAAAACCTGCAGATTCCCGCCCGATGATAATGTCCGCCAGTTCTAGCTCGCATCCATCTCTTCCACAACTCTCTCTTCGTCTTCCTCCCATCCCAAACGCAACCCTGGTCCCAACCCAACGTCTCAATTACGTCCTCAACACTGAACAAGCGCCAACCCGTTCCCCAGTCTTCGTCTTCCTCTCCCTGCGCTTCACTTGATCGCCATCATCTCCTGCATCCATCTTCTCTCTGATACAGACCAATACCCATCCGCGGCCCGCCTTCGCCTTTGCGCATCCAAGCCACTGTCTTACCTTACCGACCTTAGTACTGTACATGTAGACTAAGACTGGGCCCTGGACCAACTCAGACTGCCCGCCAAAACGACACCAGCATTACATCTGCCCCAGTGGGAAATAGGACGCTCAAGATTGCCATATAGTTCATCGTCATCCCGCTACCCGCTACCTGCCTCCCCCCTACCCCCGCCTTCTGGGTCTACCGATCGATTTCTTTGTTGAACGCTCCAAGCATCAACCTCGAAACCACAAACGCAACTCGAAACATTACGCACCAATTTTTTTCTCTCTAGCTTCCAATCCGAGTCCGCACTTTGGGCTGGTAGTCATTATCTACACCGTCACTCCAAATTGAGATTTGTTTCTCACCAACAAACAAACCGAACTTGCCGCTTTCGCACCATCCTCCGCCATGCCTATTCGCAACCCCTTTGCCCGCCGCCCGGGGCCTGCCGCTCTCCATGCAGATGAAAACTCGCGACCTGACGGCGATAACCCGTCGCACCCTGGATTTGAGAAGCAAGACACTGTCGGATCAAAGGCATCGTCTTCCCTCAGTGTGATGAGCTCCAAGAGCCAGGACAATGGCGAGTACAAGATGAGTGGTACGCACCTTTATCCATGCACATTAGCCCCGACGCACCACCACCGCCAGCACTACCTACCACCCCTCGAACCAAACGGCGCGCAGCATGAGAGACCATTTGACTTACTTTTCTCTACACTACAGTCGTAAATGACAGCGGCGTTTATCTTCCGGTGTGCACCCTGCCAACAACCTCTCCTAATCCCCTTGACGTTTGCTAATGCCCATGCGCAGCCATCCCCAACTGAAGAAAAAGGCCTGTGGCCGAGCAAGTACCTCGGCTCTGGCCGCAACTCGACAGACACCCGCAGCAACAGCGGCGAGATTGAGCACTTCTCCATTTCCAGAGAGTCCTTTGATTCGTACAGGCGATCATTTGTATGTTGAGACTTCCCAAAAGAGCCCAAACCGCTGTTTGTGGCGCCACCGCTGACCGCACTTGCGTTGCAGGACATCACGGCACGGTCCCCAATTCCTCAGAACGACTTCCCGGCGCGCCAGAGTCTCGATTCAGCCCGCTACCCTCGCCTACCTCGATCCGCGCTTGACAGGCATCGGGAACTTCCTACCGCTGACGAAGGCTTCGAGGACGTCGGCCTGGACGACCAGAAGCATCAACAACAACACCTACATCAATCCAGCCGCATGCGCGGCCTGTTCTCGCGCTTCGGTGACTCAGACCACAAGGAGCCAAGCGCCAACTCGCCCAACTCAAGTGTCACGCGCTTCCTGAACGGTGCTGGAAGAAAGCGCGGACAGAGCGGACAGGGCTCAGAACTAGGAACCATCGAGCGTCCCAAGTCAGCAGCGTCGGTCGAGACTACAGAGATTCATTGATAGTGCTCTCCGGCAAAATTTGTATATACGTTTCGGTCGATGCAGCCTTTGACGGCTTGGGATTTGGCGTTTGGCTGGGATATGTCCCAAGGTATGGGGTGCATTCGCTATGACATGGTTAGAGTTGGGGCAACCAACCTGTACACTCGGCGGCCTGAGCCGTGTATGCATATACGGGCAGTTGCAAGTCAATGACTAGCAGAGCTCCGAGACCGAGCGTCTTAGAAATGAGCTCGTAATGATAATGATATTGGTTGACATGTCTTGACCTCAGGAATACCCGTGACCTAAAAGGTGTCAAGTATGGTGAGTCGGGGTATGAGGATTCTTGATTGAGAATGGTTGGGAACACGGTCCGAACACCGGAGGGTTGGCGGAGACTGATCCGGCAGCTTGTTCCAATCGTCAGTATGCTACTTGACGTGATTTTGCAAAGACTTTGTTTCGCCATGCACTTATCGCACCATGACCCAACTTCGGGGTTTGGTCTCCAACCCCACCTTTTGATAAGGTTCCACGCAATGGAGGGGCAGAGACGGCTTGTCCCCGCCGGTCCGCCCGCCCCGATCGTCAACCGTGCCGGTTTGTTGTAGGTGACTACTCTTTATATTTTTCCCCTTTCTATAACACACCTGAAGCTTTCCCCCCTTGAACTGTAGTTCACAACCTCCTCTAATCGGTCAGACTTTGTACCCTTTCTCGCCACCTGTACCAGGGAAATAGAAACCAATAAGAGCCAACTGAAAAGCGCCCCTCCCCCGCTCATATTTCCGACACAATGGCTGGAGATATCCCTACGAACGGCGACACGGAGACCCGGGCCGCTTCCGGGTCCGGCTCCGAGGTCCCGACGACGGACGACGGCGTCAGCAAGCTCTCGCTCGCTACGCTTACTGTTCACGCCGATGACGGCATCAGCAGCCACCGCGCCATCGCGCCGGCGATGCATGTGTCGACGACGTTCAAGTACAACCGTAACCCGGATGAGCTCCGGTATGGAGAGAATGTCGATGTAAGTGTCTTCCGCTCTCACAATCCCGCTGGGTTGGGCTTCAACGTTTTCGGCTACTGTTGAAGAGTATGTTGAAGAGTATGTTGAAGAGTATGTTGAAGAGTATGTTGAAGAGTATCAAAATGAGCTTCACAAGTGAGAAGGAAAAAAACCAGTGACAATGACCAACTAACACCACCAAACCTTTCAGCCCTCTGCCCCGGGCGACTCCCACGTCTACTCCCGCTACTCGGGCCCCAACACAACCCGCCTCGAGGCAATCCTCTCTACCGTACTTGGCGGCCCTTCCCTGACCTACTCCTCGGGCCTCTCCGCCTTCCATGCCATGCTCGTCTTCCTCAACCCGAAGCGCGTGGCTATTGGCGGCGGTTACCACGGCTGCCACGGCGTCATCAAGATCCTCACCAAGCTCAACGGCCTAAAACAAGTCGAGCTCGATGAGGCCTCGCTGGAGCAGCTCGAGGCGGGCGACGTGCTGCACGTCGAGACGCCGCTGAACCCCACGGGCGAGGCGCGGAACCTGGCTTACTTCCGCGAGGTGGCCACCCGCAAGGGCGCGTACCTGACGGTCGACGCCACGTTTGCGCCGCCGCCGTTGCAGGATCCGTTTGCGCTTGGCGCGGATGTGGTGATGCATTCTGGGACAAAATACTTTGGCGGCCACTCGGATATGTTGTGTGGTACGCTGTCGCTGAACCCAAGGCACGCGGACAAGTGGATGCCGGAGCTGTTGATGGAGCGGTGCTTTATCGGGAGCGTGATGGGGAGCATGGAGGGGTGGCTTGGTGTGCGGTCGATGAGGACGCTGGAGTTACGGGTCAAGAGGCAGTCCGAGTCGGCGACGAAGCTTGTCGCGTGGCTTGACGGGGAGGTTCGGGGGAACCCCGGGGGCTTGGTGGGCAGCGTTGTGGACAAGGTTCAGCATGCGAGTTTGCAGAAGGCGGATCTCGAGGGAGGCGATCAGTGGTTGAGGAAGCAGATGCCTGGCGGGTTCGGGCCCGTGTTTGCGTTGTTGCTCAAGGACGAGGGGGATGCCAAGAGGTTGCCGAGCAAGATGGCGCTTTTCCACCATGCTACGTCACTTGGAGGTGTTGAGAGTCTCATCGAGTGGCGCGCCATGAGCGATAGCGGGTGTAGCAAGAGGTTGTTGCGGGTTAGCGTTGGTGTTGAGGGGTGGGAGGATCTGAGGGATGATTTGGTGCAGGCGTTCAAGGAGCTGGCGGAGGAGAAGAAGAAGAGGGTTTAAGAGATGGGTGCGAGGCCGTTGTGCTTGGCTGGGTAGGTATGATTTGATAGAGTTAATAGAGAGCCGCTTAGAGTGATACAATGATAGAATGTTTCGCCTTTAGAGATGGCTCAATCAAGTGCTGTATCGCAGTCCTTTGGCCAGATGTTGGGGAGCATTCAGGGGTGATTCATGTGTGAAGGGATGAGTGATCGAGTGAATCGAATTTGTGCCATGCCAGATCTATCATACTCTTTGATTTATCAATGATCTATGACTTACCTATCTTTACTTGGTTTTGTGGGGAGAAATTTTCGTTCCGGGCTGCTTTGAGTGTAAGCTGTTGACGTTCTGGGAAGTGTGGTGTTAGAATATCTGAGGGATATAGTCTCGTTCGTGTAAAAGACAAAATAGCCTGCTCTCCTTGACCCTGCCATGAGGCTTTTCGACAAATTCACAAGCATGGTGATCTCGGGGAACAGGTTGAGCAGCATTTGAAGCTGTCTATTGCATTCAAGAAGCATCCTAAGATAGGCCAGAGAAACCACGGTCCGCATCTCGGCATCGCAGAATAAAGAAATCACATGAGCTGGAGACCACGATCTGCAAAAGAAAAGCAGTGCAGGATATTTGCCCTGAATCCAGTCTCTGGCCTTTGTCATGTTTCCATTCTTCAACTTCCCTTCAAAGCAGAATGTCCAGGGAGCCATCCTTGCTCATGCAGCCGGCCAGCTTGTATCTGGTCGACTCGAGCCTTTGTTCACTCAGTTAGCTACCTTGCCTCAGGTTCCACTGGGAGCACACGAGAGAGCACCGGAAAACACTTACGTGAACTGGACAGATCCGGTCACCATGCAGCGGCACGCATCGCAGTACTTCTTGATAATCTTCTGTCCAATCTCTCCGGCGGCTTCCTCCAAGACGGAAGCGGCGCGCTCAAAGATGGCGACAGAGTCCTGGAGCTCAGTGAGCAGGGAGTCTATGGCCTGCTGGAGCGATTTGCCTTCGCCCATGAGGATGGGCACCGCATTCACGACGCTTTCGGCTTTGGCGTCATCTTGAGGCTATGTGAGAATGTGAGCTGAGATTCATTCTGCAGTGGGTGCCATGCCTTGGACAGGGTACTAACAATCTCTTTCTTGAGAGAAAGGATGTCGTTGGTGCTGTGACTCTCTGTCAGAATGACATCCTTGATGCCCACTCGGTATCCACATACATCCAGATGCCTCTGCTTGTCTCCTCCCAGATAGTCTGGACCTCTTTCATGTAGCGAATATGCTCTGGCATGTTCTCCGACAGTCCGTACCTAAGCCCCAGACTGTTAGATTTTTTTCTTCTACTGCATTATGTCTCACATAGCACTGACTCAATAAGCGCGCAAAGCGTCCACACGGCCGCCGTCCCATGGCGGAGCTCTGAGTAGGATTGAAGGTCGGGCAAGTCACCATGGAGACGCATAGCCTGCTCCTTGTGGCAGCTGTTGATGTATCGCCGCATCTGAGTCATGAAGGTCTGTCTCTGCTCTTTTGTTCAGGGTTAGTTCGCACTCATAATGCTGATTTTCAAAAAAAAATAAAATAATGACAGGGACTCACCACGAGTGTACGATTTCTGCAGCTCGGCTCCGATTGTCTTCAGTTCAGTGTTGGCAAGATCATACTGAATCGCCGAGCCATCGTCGAAGCCAAGGCCGAGAACATGCTCAAGCACGTTGATAGTGTTGTCGTGACGATGTTTGGCGTGAAGGAGGTCGTTGCTGAGGTCGTCGCTGCCCTGCTGATCGATGGCATCATCCCAACAGAAGAGCCAGATGATGTAGAGCGCCAGCGTCTGGACCTGGTCCCAATCTGGGTGAGGGTAGTATCTGTGTGAAGAGTCAGACTGGACTCGTGGATAGTCAGGGGGATTGGTGGATCAGGCTTACAAGCTCACGAATCTGGCGTAGTTGGCCTCCCGATATTTCTCACGAAGGACGGGCGACTTGATGAGCCTGATTTCATGGCAGAGGTGAATAATCTGTCATGATTCCTTTGATTGATTTGATGTTCATGACTTACCGATCCAAGGTTTCCTCCACGATGGGGATGATGCGCTTGTAATGAACATTGGTCTTCTTGACAGGCCATCCCTTAAAGATGTCGTAGAGATTCGGAACATGAAGGATCTGTCCCTTGAGGGCCTTGATGGTGGCCTGGGCCTCTGAAGCTTGCTTGTCCATTGGAGTTTTCTTGTCCGTCGGGGCGTTGGCGAGAGTTGTTCCTAGTAAGTTTGCTTTGTTTGCGTCAGCTGGACCGGGGCAGCACTCGTCCGGACAGAACGGGAAGACAAGCTGGTCAGGGTGCATCCTGACTGTGCCGCAGATCAAATTGCCTTCCACTTCAAAGCGAGATAGCAAAGGCTTGTTTTTTCTTTTCCCTTCTCAAAATTGCCTTGGTCATGAGGAATGGGGTGGTGATGGAAACATGAAAAGTCTGCTTGAGATCCTCACAGGCGGAAGAAAATACTTACTAGGTGAGTAAATTCCAAGAGGAAGGTACCAATATAGAGAAGGAGAGGAAGGAGTGAGCAGATTATGGACTTAATAACATGGGATGGAATAACGCGAAGGGGGCCCGGAGCTTCTCGATGATTGAGGGCCTCCCGAGGCCTTATATTCAGGTCCAGGTCGTCTTCTGTCAACCAAGCCCAATCGATCCCCATGGTCGAGCGGTATAACGCCCTGGTCCGTTAGTAAAGAACTTGGTGATGAAATCCTGAGAATTCTTCTAAGATGGAGGATCTTCGTAAGGTGCGCAGTTCGATTCACGAACTGCGCACCCGAGCTTTTGATTTTGGGCCCCTTTTCTACCGTCAATTTTCCCGACTTCTCTCCTTCTTCTTATAATTTCTAGATCATCTATCATTGTTAAGCCAGCCTAGCTAGGTCTTATGACTAGCTCGACGTGTAAAAACTTTGTTGTTTGAGGTTTGGATCGTTGATGGAGATTGTGATACTGCTCCTTCCTTTAGAAGTTTGGGGAAACAGCTGGCTCATCTTAGCCTTGAAGCCCTTTACCCACCGACCGCGATGCTCCCCTCTCGCGTCCGACGAGAAGGTGGCATCTGAGGTCGTTGTAGACTGCCGGATATTGTGGCCTTCTGTTCAGGGCCGGATGATCCGCTGCAGCGGAGTATTGAATTTGTATTTGCGTTTTTCCAGTGAAATGCAGAAGCATCCAGTCAACCTACAAAGCATCAGTATGCAAGTCATTGTAATGTAGATCTCCTTGAATTATGCCGAGAACCACATGCAGAAAACTAAGGTGATGATTCGCAACCTGTAGCCATCATCAATCCTAGAACAATGTCAAATCAACTCTAGATAGCTTAGTATTGAGCAAAGATGTGGACCAGGACTCTCGTTACCACCTTGATAGCATGTGGCAGCTTTCAATGCGAAGCAACAAGGCCATGTGAGTGGGGATCTGGAGATACTTGGACAGCTTTTCGCAGGTCTGTCGAAGACCAAAGGCCGCCGAGGATGTTGTGGCGAACCAGTCTCGCTCTCACTGACGGCTAATAGCATGGGATTGACAAGCTCTATTGTACAAAGATCTGCCAGGCTCTACAACGGCGTCAATACACAGCGCCCACCTTGACAAGGTCGCGAATCGCCCAATCGACTCCCTCCGAGTGCTCATAGTCTCACGAGGTGTCACCCAGGTCTCACCGAACATCTTTGTGTCGCTGTACTGAAACAACCGGATGTTGGGAGGGCCAAGCTTCATCAGTCCACAAATCAGCGAGCATGCAACCCTCGATCATGCAGCAACCCGTTTCTTTGTACAGTGTGGGCTCGAGGCGAGACTTCTCGTCATGTTCAAGCTATTGTAGGCAACGTGGTATTGCACCGCATTGGCCTAGGCAGGGATGGCGTGGTCATGACGTTCCGCATCCCGGCGGCTCCATGCTGCGGTCAAGGCCAGCTATGACCGCGGAATGACACGCTCTGAGAAGTCGCCAATTCATTTGAATATTGATTGTGTGCGCGAACCTCGAAGCGGTCATGAACTAGAAGCTGGTTGCCGCACATGCACAGTTGCAGTTGCCTTCTCCGTCTTGGTGTGAATGATTGATGGTCTCTTTCCCAGAAAGTGGCTTACTTGTCGGTGTCGACTTCCTTGAGTAGCTCCGTGAGATTGAGGATCCTATAGCCCCGTCTTTTCAGCTCCGGGAGTACCTTACGCAGCATGGGGACGGTCCAACTCCTTCTATCGTGGCATATGATGATGGCTCCTGGGCGGGCCATGCTCAAGATATGGTTGGCATTCGTCCGCCAAGAACTGATCTGAGCGTCGTGTGGGTAAACACTCCCCAGAACCATCCTGTATCCCAATTTGTCGACTAGCCTCCGCATCTTGTTGTTGAAGAAGCCAGAGCCCGGACGGAAATATCCAGCCACAACGGGCTTTTCCTCGTACTCGTAAGCAATCTTGATCTTCCGCCTGACCTCGAATATGTCCGATTCCAATTGTCCCATAGGTAGGGACCGAGAGGCCTCGTCGTGCATGCCATGGTTTCCCAGCTCGCTGCCAGACTGAATTATAGCGCCCGTATCTTCCTCGCGACCGTTCATCTGGGATCCAATAAGGAAAAAGGTAGCGTGTGCGTCGTTCTCTTTCAAGACGTTGAGGATGTCGGCTGTATGCTGTGATGGCGCATCATCGATCGTGAGGCCGATGATTTTCTGGTCCGTCTTGACCTGCCATAATACGTCGGGCCATCGTCGCGCAAAGTAGTTGATAACAAACGGAGGTGGTTTGTAAATAACGTAGAAGGGGACGGCCAGGAGTACGGCCAGGGCGAGGAGAGCCAGCAGTGTAGCCATTCGGTTCCTCCGCACGCGTCGGCGAAGCTTGTTTGGGAATCTGAAGAGCGTTATTCGTGCCATCGGCCATCCATTCACCACCTTATAGTTTGTCGAAGCAAGAAGGGGAGAGGAGGCATTATCGAGACAGTCGGGTTTTGGGGTGATGGGTGAAACGAAACGCAACGAAGCCAAGTCCAGGCGCACAGCTTCATCATAGCTGCGGCAGGGATGGCCGCGTCCACTTGAGAACCTGTGGCTGGTGGTGGCTTTTGTCACTAATCGAGACTCGAGAGGCACTGGGATGGATGCATGTGGCTGAGACTACCAGCCTCCGCCCTCCGGTGCCCCGCACCCCGGTCCCTCAGTGACTACAGGTACTTGCCGAGCACTCGTTTATTTCAACCTCCATGTCGACGCACCAATACCGAAGTCCCTTTCTGCCAACCGTTTCCAGCCCAGCTATTACCCATGACCGAATCTCGTCAGGCGGGGCATAGCCTCCATGGTCGATTCGCATCTTGAGACCTTAGCCTTTCCGCTCGTCATGACCCGGTGTGTACGCCCGCTCTAGGCTGCATGATTACCGTCCTGGCGCAGATATCAAACCAGGATGATTGCTAGCCGCCATCGAAAGATGAGGCCAAACCGGGACACCTGCCCTTTTGAAGAAGAAGAAAAAAACCCGAAAGAATCCTTCCTTGTCAGAAAGGCTTCAGAGATCTCACAGTGCTTCGGAATTCTCAGCTGCTGTGAGGCTGCGCATTGATTCCCGAAGCCGATCCCCGAGTACCGTCTTACAGTTGGCCCACAAGGACCTCCTTATATTATGGCCATCTCTGGATCATACTTGATCACCAAGGCTACAATCAAGCCCAATTCCTCGGTCCCAAAGGGCTGGTTGGTGGCACATCCTCATGGATCCTTCGCCGCACTTTATCCATCCTCCTGGGAAAGAAATAAGCTTGTAGAGGTCCCGGTCCCGCAACGGCAAGGACGGCAAGGCCAGACTTGTAGGGGTTCTCTGTTGATACTATTCAGGATGCAAAAGCTCTCATGAGGCCTATATAGGCTTCCGACTTTGGCTCAGAAGAAGTTCCTCGTCAGGCAGCCGCTCAGGGGCCATGTCTTTAGCTACAGCATTTGATTTCTTAATTATCACAGCTCGGGCCCATGTAAAGATCGCTGCGATGGCCATTGATATTTGCATATTTTTAGATTCAATGAAATTTGATTAGATCCAAAACTTACACACCATCACTTTAAGTGTCGTCGTGCTTAGCTCGCTCAACAACATACATGAACTCGCCTCCGGCATCTTCTCCAAGCGTTGTTCGGAAGAGAAAGAGGGACGAGTCATTTCGCCGCCATGCTCCCGAGTCCTTTCCGAATGATAAACCTCTTTCTGATTTTCTCGTATACAAGGGCAATCGCGATAGGCGCGTTTGCAGACGACTCACAAGTGTCTCCGGAGAAGAAGCAGGCGCAGAGACAGAAGCGGTGAGTTGCCCTTGAGCCGAAGCAATTCATGGGGAACAGCAGCTCTTGATCCACCCAGGACGACGAAATCAAGACATGGGCTACTAACAAGCCGGTTCATTTTCTTGGCTTCAGCCTACGAGCTGCATTTGATGTATTACGATTTACGGCGTAAGCGTATCGGCGTTGGTGAGGGTTTTCGATGACCACTGTCCTTCACGCATGGCAGAAGCAAACTGGAGATACCCAAACTTTTTCTTCCCTGTCCAGAGAAATGCGGGGGGGCGTGTGGGGGGGTGGCTGCTATCAAACTTCCACTACTCTTGGTTTGACTCTGACCTTCGTCCTTGCCGAGCGCTGCCACCCTTCATGTCACAGCGGGCGGGCTTGACGGGGTCCAAAGCAGTCCGCTCCGAGGCTTCCGGGTCGCGGTGATTCGGCGCCGTACTTCGGGGGTTCCGAAACAACGCGGGGTCTAAACTCTGATCAGGATCGCGATTTTCCCAGGCAAGGCGCAGATGAGCTCCAGCGAAACGCAATTTGGACAAAAAGGGAGATCCTGGCCTCCGCATTGGCCTGTCGGCACTACTGACACGGTTCAGGATTTGAGAGGGGGCGGCGTCATCCGATGTGTTGAGATGTGATGAACAGTCGGAGAAAGTTTGCCCATGTTTTGACCTTTTTCCCAACTCTTCTTCAAAACGTAGGGAAAGTACAATATACACAATCTCATTTCTCAACGCCGTAATCGAATTGGTGATTCGCCGCCAATAACGAACGAAACCCGATAGCATCACCAAATGAAGGAGCAACAATGGCCAAACCGCAAGCTCTCTCGGTCGTCGAGATACCGAGCGAGTACATTTTACGAATAGTATCTCGCAATGAATTAAGCGAGGGGCCCTGAGATCTTCGAGTCTGCGTCGTCTCGAGACGTCGGAGACTTGATGATCGCCTAATGCATAGAAAAAGAGCCGCATCACATTCATTGACGGCACAAGAAATGCCAACCGACAAGC